GAGAAATACATCAAAGAATACAAAGCCATATTAAAAGAGTTTTGTCGTACAGTAAAGATTACTCTTTGCTTAAATGAAAAGTTTGAAGCTTTAGGAGCTAGTCCTTGTCTTCAATGTGAAACAGTTACATATGTCTTTGACTGGGAACCAGATGAACACATGCTACAAGATATCAAGCAAATCATTTCCAAGACGTCTGGTAAACTAGTGAAAATTAAATACATCAAGAAAGGAAACTCCATCGTTGTTACCTGCTCCTTCCCTCACTCTCTCACTGGAGCTCTCATTATTAAATTGAGTGAGAATCTTGAATTATTAATAAAGAATGGTCTAATGAAGCTTACTGTTGGATACTGCACAATATGGAAGAAACAAAAGATACAAGTATGTGTATATATACTGTCAGTAATTATCATTATAATACTGTATTATAAAGGAAATACAGGAACCACTGGAAGAGGAGGTAGAGGAGATAAAGGAACAACCTCATGATACAAAGGTATAATAATTTGTGTTTGGTTATTTTATTAAAATAACTTAATAGGAAGAGAGAGTAGCAAGACTGGAGGAGAAAGAAACAGAAGGAGCAACACCTCAATCAGTAATTAATCAAGGTATAATAATACATTAATGTAATGGTTGTTGACCAGTGTTATTAATTGATGGATATTGTTATATTTCAGATATACTATCAACTGACACAAGTGTGACAATAATTAATAGACAATTAATAAAAGAAATGAAAACAAACAAGCAATTAGAAGAAACACTAACAAGTAAGTATAATAAAACTTTATTAATTATAACTGAAATAATGTAGAAATGAGAGTAAAGGAAATTCAACAACTTCTGTCTTTACCAAGAAATACTAGTTCAGGTTAGAATTATTTAGTTATTTATTTATTTATTTGTCTATAGCATCATACAGAATCAGAAGAGGAATGAGAATGGAAATAGAACAATTGCAATTATTATTAACAAATAAAACTGGTACTGAATCATAATGTACTGTACAACATGATTTATTGGCAGAAGTAACATTTGGCAGATTTGCATGTTGAAAAAATTGGCGATTTTGTGCCACATATATCATTGAGTATGCTCAAATTGAAAGAAAATGGTGGATTTTATATTGGCAATTTCTTCATAAAACCGCCAATTGCCAATATTAATTCCTCGCCAATAATTCATCTTGTAACAGTATGTGTTAGTGTATTATAATTATACTATGATTGGTTTACTGGATCAGAATGAATCATTAATAGATATTAAGAAAGAAATAGCTGAACTACAAGAACAGATATCAGTAATGAGTGTAAATATACTAAATAAAAGAGAAGAGAATGAAGAATATAGAGATGTAATAAAAGGTACAGTATAGTTATTATTTATTGACAATTATTTATTTATTAATCAGAGTGGAGGGAACAACTTACATTGACTTCATCAGCTGCAAAAGAAACTGAAACTGTTCAGTTGACAGATGAAGATGATGATAAAAGTATGTTTCATTATTTCTGATTGATATATTGTATCACTGGTATATAGTGAATAAACCAATAGCAGAATCTGTTTTTATTGCTCGTTATGACTATCATGCAACATGGAGTAATGGTATATCATTCAGTGAGAGAGAGCAGCTGGAGATATATGAGAAGGAGAATAGTTTTTGGTGGAAAGGAAAATCCTTGGTGTCTGGTGATGAGGGACTCATTCCTAGTAGTTGTGTTTACTCAATGTTGGAGTTACTTCAATTGTTAGAGTTTATACTGTCAGTGGAAGAAGTGTCCCTTCCTATTGTACAGAAGATAAGGAATGATTCATTTAGTAATGATGAGAAAGCTTCTTTTTTCTTGGAGACTATTAATGATGATCCTATTATGATATCTGCACTGAGACAAGACAAGGAACAACATGATAAAGGTAATAATTATATTTGTGATTATTGTGACAGTCAGTATAATTATTCATGAGAATGTACATGTAATGTCATGTGTACATGCATACTTAGGGATTGTGTATAAAATTAATTCACTAATTTTACTTCAAATTTTATTCTGTACATACTTAATACATTATAACAAACCCACACATTCACATAATACAGTCAGTCAGTGACAACTACTAGCTGTGTCTGTATTTGTTCATGCAAGTTGTGTGTGTTTGTATATACACATGATGTGAATATGTGTATTATTATGTACATACATGTATATAAGTATAATCCTTTGGTTTACATTAGGAGTCACTGGGAGAGTGAACTGGGGCAGAGACTGGGTATTCTTTACCTCTCCATCTCCAGTTCAGTGTAATGAAGCGATTTGTAATATTAATAATAATCATAAGAACATTGAATTCCACCACTCATCTACTAATAGTACACTATCTCTACTATCATCAACTAAACTGCATACACTAAACCTGAGGAGACTTGAGATAATGTACACTCCATTAACTAATGATTGTATCCAGTACTTGTGTATACTACTAACTAATAAAACAATACAAGAACTAGAAATCAGTCTTCACTCCATTAGTGATAGAGGAATTACTAATATCTGTCAAGCACTTGAACACAACTCTACGCTTACCTCATTAGATCTTTCTTATAATCCTCTCATCACTTCTACTAGTGGACAGGCTCTTTCTCACCTCCTCCTCAATAACTCATCACTAGTTGAACTGAATCTAAGTTATACTTCATTGTCTACTGAGTCAATACTACTCATCCTCCAGTTTCTAATGGACAATAAGAAGATAAGGACACTCAGGCTAGACAAGCAATATGAAGAGACTTGTATTAATACTTATCCTAACTATCACCTCATACAAGACAGAGTAGACTGGGTGGACTAATCCGCACTCGTCATGTAAACTTGATACAACAATTATTATACCAAGTCAGTTCATCTTCACCAATAAGCAACCAATCAGAATACACTACTTTACATGATAAAAGGTGGACCAGTGACACATTATATTATCATAAATCTAACACATGAACATCTCTTGATCTCTCATCAATCTCTCTCTCTCCTTCTCCAGTATATACTGTACATTCCTTCTCTTACTGACACACACTCATGGCACTGTCTCTCTCTTTGTTGTCATCATTTCTTTCTATTTCCCTCTCCTTTATTTCTATCTCTCCCTCACCTTTAATAACTTTTCTCTAGCTGACCTTCCTCTGTTTCAGCAAGTCAGTCTTGTTTCCATTCTCAATATATTTCTCTCAAAAAGTAGCAGATAAAAAGAAGGAAAAAGACAAAGGAAAAATATAGCATAATAATAATAATAATATAATTTTTAATAAAAATGTTTATAAAAGAGATGATAAAAATATTAAAATATGTCCGCACAGTTCAACCAGTACACCAGAATCCTGAGAATGACCAGCTGGAGAAAGAGAGAGAGGAAATGACAAATTATAATATACACACATACCATATAAGGATGTACAATATTATCAATATATTGATCATCAAGAGGACATATTGTCATACTGATAGTATTAATTATTGTATCAGCAATACTGAATATTAATTATTCACAACACAAAGCATTACTTAACAACAAGAAGCCTATTTTATAAAATAACCTGTCAATTTTCCTAGTTTTCTGTAATCAAAATCAGCTCAAACTTTCTACAGAGCATGAGGACATCAAAATACATCAGAAAATGTAATAAAAATTTGAGATGATTTTGAAGCTATTTTTTGGAAAAAAGCATGGGCTATATTATATACATGCATATGGTATTTTAGCGATTGATAATTTGCAAGTGAAGTCATCAAGTAATGCACTTGTACACAAATATAAAAACTGCCAACTACATTTTACAGTAAAAATGAACATGTATACATGCTTATAATTGTGGTTAATTAACTGAAATTAATTAATAAAAGGTGTTGTTGGATGTGGCTAGTAAAAAAATTAGTTAAAAAGTAATTATAAAAATCATGTAATGTTGCCCACCACCACTGAGATTGGCATCCAAAAAATGGTAACAACAATCACTAGATCCAGTCAAGTTCCTTAACCATATCTAGCACAGCAACAAAAACAGCAGCTACTGAAGCCACTACTTCTGCTGAGAGAGACAATGTCG